TGTATTTTTATTATACAATTCAAGCAAAAAATCACATTTTTGTTATATTAATATGTAACAATCTATGATAAATTACCATCTGTTTACACCTAAAATAAATCAATAGGGTAAGGCCACGTGTCAAGGTAAAGCCCAGACGGATTTCCAAGGAGGTTGGATCTTAGGTGGCAGAAGATAAGATTGGATCTGGTAGTTTGAGTTTGATTTAAAATGGAAAATTGAGGATTTTTAGGTAGTTATCTTTAAGATTGTTGAAGATAAGGTTAAATAAAAATCGGATAACTATTAAATAACTGTCAAACCTGCAATCCGAAAATGGAGGAACAGTACCGAAGATCATGGAGGAAGTTACTAGCACCGGAAAAAATAAATACAGAGATAAGAGAACAGTTTGAACCCCTGCCCAACACACACACAGACTACCCAGAGCATGTTTTTCAGCTTTCAGACTGCATTTTCCAGATTTCAACAATAGTTTCCAGATTTCTCGGATTTTACAGATTAGTTCATAGCCTTAGCCTAGGTTTGATCATCTTTGTTCACATTTCCTTCCACAAATTCCAGTTTAGATTTATTTTTAAGTATTTGGAAGCAACTGACCTTTCAAAACAGGTCTGCCCTTTTAATTCGATTAGTTTTTCTTCTTTTTATAGATTTAATTATGTTATTCGTTCATGTAAATAAGTTGAATGTTTTCTACCTTTGTTCTTTTGTTTCTGCACAATATCCAGACATTCAGTTTATTTAATTTCAATTTCCAAATTTGATTTTAGGTTAAATACCCTTTTTGGTCCCTCTACTATAGGAAAAAGCCCTTTTTTTGGTCCCTGTACCGAAAAAATCCCCTTTTTGGTCCTTACTGTTCACAAATCCGGTCCCTTTTTGGTCATTCCGTTAATTTTTGCTCACATGACACGTTAACTTAACTGGAACAGCTGATGTGGATATGCCAATGTGTAAAAAATGCTTACGTAGACTTAATGATACCCTCCACGTCACCCTCGAAAAGAAAAAAAAAAGATTAAATGCTAAATTTGATCCCTCAACTTGATAGGTTTGCATTTTTTTGGTCCTCAAATTATTTTTTTCACTTTTTTTCACTTTTAACTCTAAAAATTACACAATTTTGGTTCCTCCGCCAGTTAAGCATGACGTGACAGTTAAATAATTTCATTTGGTATTTTCTTTTAATTTTTTTATGACATGCCAATTAATATATTATAATTATATTATATAAATAAATAAAAATATCGCATAAATAAATATTTATATTTTAATTAAAAATAAAATTACATTATTACCCTCCCTTCCTAATCCCTCTTCTTCCCTTTCTTTCGAACCCAGATGCAGACTTGGAAGGCAACTGCCAAAGCCTGGTAATTCTTCTGAAATTTGTTCACCAGCACGACATCGTTCCCCTCTGGTGACTCTTGCACAATAGACCGAACACCATGGACGAGCTTCTGGACAGACAACTAGTGATGAAGGAGAAATACCTAAATGATGAAGAGGAAGAGTTGTAGAATAAGCAGCGACTCACTAGCAATTGGCGCGAGGCGCTTAGTCTCTATTGAGACATTCTCTATGCAACACGGTTCTTCATGTGGTCCGATGTTCGAGGTGTCCTCTGGAGAGACATCCTGAGAGAAAACGCCAAGAAGGAGTTAAGAACAAGAAGGAAGACCAAAATCAGTTCCTGGGTTGGTACAAACCCATATCTGGATTCCTCGATTCATGAAGAACTCAGATCTAGGTTCCTCAGGAACCCATTCACGAACCTAGGTTCTTTAGGAACCTATTCCTCGGTTCACAAAGAAACCATATCTGGGTTCCTTAGGTACCCATTCCTTGGTTCGCGATGAACCCAGGTTGTCTGGGTTCATCACGAACCCAGATGACAGACTCATTGCTGGGTTCCTCGCGACCCCACTCATAGTTAAGGCAGGGGGAAGAGAGGGAGGGAAGAAGAGAGAGGAACAATGGATGGAATGATGGTCGGAAACGTCTGGGTTCGAAAGAAAGAAAGAGAAAGAAAGAAGGGGAAGAAGAGGGATTGGGATTTGGGAGGGTAATAATGTAATTTTATTTTTAATTAAAATATAAATATTTATTTACGCGATATTTTTATTTATTTATATAATATAATTATAATGTATTAATTGTCATGTCATAAAAAAATTAAAAAAATATATCAAATGTAATTATTTAACTGTCACATCATGCTTAATTGACGGAAGAACCAAAATTGTGTAATTTTTAGAGATAAAATAAAAGATCAAAAAAGTGAAAAAAATAATTTGAGGACCAAAAAAATGCAAACCTATCAAGTTGAGGGATCAAATTTATCATTTAATCTTTTTTTTTTTTTCTTTTCCAACACAAGGAGGGTGACGTGGAAGGTATTATTAAGTCCACATAAGCATTTTTTACACATTGGCATATCCACATCAGCTGTTCCAGTTAAGTTAACATGACATGTGAGCAAAAATTAATGGAAGGACCAAAAAGGGACTGGATTTGTGAACAGTAAGGACCAAAAAGGGGATTTTTTCGGTACAAGGACTAAAAAAGGGCTTTTTCCTTATAGTAGAGGGACCAAAAAGGGTATTTAACCTTGATTTTATAAGTTTTCAGACTTTAATCATTTCATAGTTTCTTCTTTAGTTTTAGTTAATTATTATGGGTTGCGTAGTTGAAATCATTGTCTGCTATTTTACTTTTTCTGTTGTCTGCAAATTTAATCTTCATGGCATGTTATTTTCTGTTCTTTACTTCATGTTAGTTTAATTGCTTTAGGATATTGCATTTATTTTAGGATTTGTAGCTTTTATTACACTTGTTTGGTTGTGAAGTCCTTGGAGGTTTCCAAGGCAATTAGTAACCCATTTTGCAGAACTCTACCCTCTGTTTTGCAACATCGTCTGGGGCGCAATTCATTTCACAGACGTTCTTTCCAACCATCCTATTGGAGGTTGACCGTTGGAAAGGAGAAGGGTCGTCTGGAAAATCCTATTTTATTGTTTTTAGACAAAGCAAGTGGCACGCCTAACATCCAACTCACGTGGTAAAGGTCGGCTGAGGATTTTTGAGGAAACAATCCTTTGTTGGCACGCCTGGTGGGACAACCAGCAGGATGTATCAGTTACAGTTCACAAATCCTCTGTTCATACATTTAGAGGCGTCTGGAGCCATGCCACCGAGAAAGAGCAAAGATAAAGAGGTTCAACCAGCCCAGGCTGAACATGCAGATGACAGTCTAGTTTACTCAGAGGGTGAGAATGATCCAGTTGTTCCTCCTTTTTTATCACCCTTCGTGGAGCGATCTTATGGTAATCCAATTTTCAAAGAAAGGGAGGCAGACCGTGGGGGTGACTTTGCTAAGTCAAGTAATATGTTTAGAGGTATGATGGAACGTCTAGATATAGCATTCAAAGAAAAGAACCAGACTATGCAGAAACTTGTTGAGAGTCAAGCAGAGTCTGCCAGACATCAGGAAGAGATAATCAGACAATGTATGGAAGACATGAGACGGGTCTTTGAAGAAGGCACTAGGGTGATGCGAGAAACTGGGGAAGAAAGTCGTAGAACACTACAGGCTGTTTCAAAACAAGTGGTTGAACAAGTGCAACAGCCTAGACCTGAGATCCCTCCTCCAGTCGTTGAAATGCCCAGACAGATTCAAGAAGCCCCAATCCCAGCACTCGGGGGGCTAGGGAATCAGCCTCATCCTAACATTCAACAGCAGAATTTCTTCATGGGTGAAGGACAAAGACAGCATGAACCAATGGAGGCTGCTGCTCCTGTTGCAGACCATGGCCATCAACCTCAGCATAAGTATATTATGCCAGCTAGGAAGGGAAATGTGGGTCCTCATCATCAACCTTGTCCAAGGGACTTTTTCCAACCACAAGTTCCTCCAGCCCAGCTAGTACGATGTGGTCTACAGAATCAACCAGCTCAATTCTTCAATAGAGACTATGGGCCAGCCTTGAGGCCATTGGAAAAGATTGATAAGGACATCTTGAAATTTCCAGACAAAGCGAAGGAAACTATGGGAGTAGAAGCAGATCCTTTTCCAGCTGTGTCTGTCGGCGTGAATGTTGTAGACCTCAGGAGCGTTGCCAGAAATTGTAGTCTGCCTTATGCTCAAAGGAACCTTGCTACCGAAGACTTGAGGTGGGTGCTTGAGGCACAGAGATCCAGACATAGCAGGAGCGTCAAGTCAGACCCACAGAGGCTCAGGGGGTAAGGAAGGATCACTATAACCAGGAACTTCAGTCCAGAAGGTGCCAGACAATACTCAACTGGTACTAGATCTCCAAGGATGGTCAAACCGCCACTCAGGTCACCTTCCAGACGGTGGGAGAAAGTTAGTCATCCTAAGTTTCCAACCTAGAATCCCAGAACCTTGAGGCGCAAACTGCAACGCAAGAGGGCTGAAGAGCGAAAAAGACAACAGAAGCAGATGGGGGCTGAGGGAAGTTCGTCTCGCAGACCACGCCAACCTACCAAAAGGAACATGGTGTGGGTGAGAAAAGAGAAAAATGAGACTGTAACCCAGACTCTACCGAAGGAGGATGACCAATCTCCAACCTCTCCAAAGGTGGCAACTGTCATTCTGAGTCCAGACGGAGTTTTGAAAGCAACTTTTGAAGCACAAGAACAGTCTGGGAATCGTGGATCTGAATCAAAAGAAGATGGCACTATTCATTTTGGGGAATTCTCAGTGAATTTGTCATGTCTGGTGTTGACATTACCCTTGGTTTTCCAAGCCAAGAAGGAGGAGGAACCAATCGTCTACGAGTTTCCAAAACAGACAGAAGAAGAGGTAATCGTTGTTCCAGCTCAAGATGCTGAAGAGAAGGACATGGCTGACAAAATTGTGTTTGAAAAACCAGAAGAAAAAATGGCCAGACACATTAGGCCACTTTATATCAATGCTCACATGGATGGGACTCCAATCAGCCGTGTCTTGGTGGATAATGGAGCTGCAGTCAATGTCCTTCCAACTTGCATGCTCTACAAAATAGGCAAGTCTCTTGATGATTTAGTGTATACTGAGGTTACAATTAGTGATTTTACAAGAGGGGTAAATCGTTCAAGGGGTGTGTTGCCTGTTGAATTAACAGTGGGAAATAGGACACTGATGTCTGCGTTTTTTGTAGTGGATACTGTTGCTACTTATAATGCACTGTTGGGGCGTGACTGGATTCATTCAAGTTGGTGTGTTCCTTCTTCACTTCACCAGAAACTGATTTTCTGGAATGGTGGCAAAGCTGAGGTGGTGTCTGCAGATGATAAGCTTTTTTCAGCCAATACCTACCTGGTGGAGGCTAGATATTATGAAGAAGACATTGGCACCATTCGGTTTTTTGGGATGGATAGACATGGGAAGCCGATTGGGATAACAGCATGCAGCAGACCGTCATTGTCTAAGCGTGTTGTAGAGGAAGTCTGTGATAAACTTCTTCGGCCAACAACAATAATTCCTTATAGGCCGAAAGGGAAACTAAAAATTGAAGAGATCTAATGAAGCAAGCTCGTCTGAGACAAGAAAGAGAAAAGGCCGTGTTGGAGATAACAAAGAAATTAGCGGCCTATTTTGCTGAAAAAGTAGTGCAAGTAGACAGGTTTGAAATTGTTAATGAAGGTGAGAAGGCAGACCGAGGTGATGAAATAACTTTGGAGGAGCTGGATCTGGCCCCAGCCAAGTTGGATGATCTAAAAGCTGAAGTTCAAGACCCACTGGAGGAGATCAATCTAGGGTCTGAAAGTGAACCAAAGGTAACATTTATCAGCGGCTCTCTTGAGCTGCAGACACGAGATGAAATTGTCAGACTTTTGCACGAATTTAAAGACTGTTTTGCTTGGGACTACTCATAAATGCCAAGTCTGGATCGGAAATTGGTGGAACATAAACTGCCAATTGCAGAAGGATTCAGACCGTATAAACAGCCGCCTAGACGCATGTTTGCAGAAGTCACTTTGAAGGTGAAAGAGGAAATTGAGCGACTGGTAAAAGCTGGATTCATTCGGACTTGCAGACTTGTTAGTTGATGGAGTAGCCCGTCACAAAATTCTATCTTTCATGGATGGCCATAGTGGGTACAACCAAATTTTTATTGCAGACGCAGACGTTCCAGAAACAACATTTCGATGCCTAGGTGCTGTTAGAACTTTTGAATGGGTTGTGCTGCCATTTGGTCTGAAGAATGCTGGAACTACCTATCAAAGAGCCATGAATGCAATTTTTCATGATATGATTGGTAAATTCAAGGAGATTTATATTGATGATGTTGTGGTGAAGTCACATGGGGAAGCAGACCACCTGGTCCATTTGAGGAAAGCTTTTGAGCGCATGAGGCAACATGACTTGAAAATGAACCCACTAAAGTGTGCCTTTGGAGTGTCTGTGGGTAACTTCCTTGGGTACTTGGTGCATGAGCGTGGTCTAGAGGTTGACAAGAACAAAGCCAGGGCTGTGATTGAGGCGAAACCACCAATCTGCCTTTGATATGATAAAGCGGTACTTATCCAGACCACTAGTACTTGTACTGCTTGTGAAAAATAAACCTTTAATTTTGTATATATTCGCCGTAGACGAGTCCAGAGGATGTCTGCTAGCGTAGGAAAATGATAAAAAACAGGAGCAGGCTGTGTATTACTTGAGTTGATGTTTGATCCAGACCAAAGTGAAATATTCTTTGGTCGAAAAGTTGTGTCTTGCTCTCTTTTTTGCTGCAATAAAATTTAGACATTATTTGATTTATTCTGAGGTGTATGTGGTTGCCAAGACTGATATTGTCAAATATATATTGTCCCGCCCTTTGTTAAGAGGTCGAATAGGTAAATGGATTATGGCCTTGTCTGAATTTAATTTGAAATATATACCACAGAAGGCTGTCAAAGGGCAGGCATTGGCAGACTTTCTTGCAGATCATCCATGTCTGGACATGGAAGCAGACGAAGAAAAAGGGATTAACTTGTTTTCAATAAGTTTAGTTCCCTGGAAACTCATTTTTGATGGGTCTAGCATAGAAACCATGTCTGGAGCTGGAGTCGTGGTAATCTCTCCGTTTGGGCTAAAAACACAAATGTCTTTCCAACTGGATTTTGATTACATAAATAATCAAGCAAAATATGAAGCTTTGATTATTGGTCTTGAGATGTTGGTGGAGCTTAAAGTATCCATGGTTGAGGTTATAGGGGCCTCACAGCTAGTTTTGAAGCAATTGTCTGGTAAGTATAAATGTACTAGCCTTGCCTTAGCCCCTTATTTTGCCTTGGCTGTGCAATTGCTAGAAGAGTTTGATGATGTGTCCATCAAACACGTTTCTAGAAACCAGAACTATAAGGCTAATGAAATGGCCCAGATTGCTTCAGGTCTGCGAATTCCTGAAGGTGTGATGCAGAAAGTTGTAATAGTTGAAAAACGCAGTGTGCCATCAATTCATCAACGTGGCATGACAGTTTCTACTTGTAGCATTGATGTCACCCAGACAGACTGGCGCTTTCCAATTATTCAGTACCTTAAGGATCAAAGCACTAAGGTATTTAGGAAAACCAAAATGCAAGCTCTCAATTATGTTTTGATTGAGGATGTGCATTATAGGAAAGGCCATGATGAACTACTGCTACGTTGTCTGAGTCTAGACGAAAGTTTCCAGATGCTGTCTGATGTCCATGATGGGATTTGTGGTGCACACCAGGCTGGGATCAAGATGC